CCAGGGTGGGGGAGTGAGCGAGCGGCTGGGTGGTGCTCAGTTGCCAACTGAGGTTAAACCACGGCAAGCCTCTATTGTTTCAGCCACATACACACAAGGCATGAAAATTTATTTGAAGTATTTTAAAATTGGTTAGAAACCAGAGATGAGGGATTTCTCTGTTCAATTACTCGCCACCATTCTAATTACCCCCAAAAAGCCAACCACCCCCCCAAATTCTCTCAGTATCTCAAAAACTAATACATTCCATTCACAGAATGCAAGTCCTAAGAAATTAGCACAGTAATGCACTGGCTATGTTTGTAAAGGGAATCCAAACCCGTACCTGTTAAGATCACTTATAGATAAGGAACTTAAGGCAAAGAGCCTAAGTAACTTGTAAAAAGTCTCATGGGACATTTTAAGAAGTTCCTAGAAACAGAACTTAAACTCCTTATCGTGTGGTGTAACCATAAACGCACAGTTTGAAGAAACAGAGGGTTAGTTCCTATTGTGAGCATGTGAGAATCTTAAGAAACAAAATACTAGAAGAATACTGAAATTGAATTATTCAAGATTTAGTGACATGTGAGTACACGTACATTGTGCGAACACATGCAAATGCGTACATTAGTAGGCAGATTTTGCGGACATTGAGGAGTGTATTTTTGTTTTTTTACAGACTATGATGTATCTACACGCAGGTATTACAGAGTATGATGTATGGTACAATGATTAACAAATAAGAAACTTAAGAACATTTCACAGCAAAATAAAAAAAACTATACTTGTCTAAAATGAATGAACATCCTGATTTTTGGCAGGATGCTGTAACAGGCAAAAGGAGTATTTAAAACAAGTAGGAGGAAAGCTATCTAAAATTTCAAGCAAAGCTTGACTTCTGTTTTGGGGAGATAAATAAGTAAAATAAGGAGCAATAAAAAAAAAGTGTGAAACTGATTACCAAATAATCACAATTACAACACATAGACAAAAAAAGATTATTTCAGAACCATCTCAGTACTTTGAGACTAAAAATATAAGCAAAAATCTGAGATTCTAAACCAATATATTGAGTTTACTCAGGATTTTAATATCCTTTATGCCTAGATGGCAATTAAAATACGACCCTGTACATTCATACTAATCAATCTAACATACTCATTCAGAAAGAAAAGGGTTCTCCAATTCTTCCAACGACAATATAAACTAGCTACAGTTTTGCACATCCAGAAAAATCAATGATTTTCCAATTTGTTTTCTAGTTAACTCAGTAAAAATTTGACTATGCCATCACAAACTAGCTTGACATTGGCTTGAAAACTGCAGAACTGGAACTTCTTTGCTTTTTTTCATAATGAACTCCTGTTTTAAGTCAGGATAGCAGTGCAAAATATCAAGATTATCTTTGCACCTCACTGTTTAGTTTGAACTGAAAACAGAAAAAACAGTACTTTAACGGCAGCACATATAAAACAATCCATAGATACCTGATGGCACTGAGGTACTCTGAACTCAAAATAATAACTCGTAATATATTAGCATGCTTCTAAACACGTTACTGTGAGCAAGTTCTACTTCCACAGAACTATCTCAACAATGGTGAGCTAGATGCCTACCAAAATAAGGTACAGAGCTGAATTGCTGATGACGCTTCTGTGTAAAACCTGAAAAATTGACAAATCCATACAAATAACTGTACATGGCAATATGAGTAAAATAGCAGAGTACTGCTAACATTGTATACTAAAGGTTCCTTAGGTTCTACCACTCTTACTCAGTTTACTGTTTTTACTTCTTTTTTTTTAAGCCAGAAAAAAATTAAAAATACCGCAGAGCTAAACTTTCATTTCTCCCTCGTTCATTTCTACATCTGTAGCCCGGCTTTGAAGTTACAGGTGGCACTTGTCCTGAACTGGGTATTCGTAAATTGGCCTTTACCATCATGTGACTGTATCAGAATACTTCAGTCCCCTTATTAGCACAGTAATGCACTGGCTATGTTTGTAAAGGGAATTACAAACAACCAAGGGAATCCCTTAGTTCATTTAAAGAGGGAAAAACATGAACCAGGGCACTATTCCACTTACAGGTGCAGATTCATAGTAAAAAAAACCTGCGGGTAGTAACCTCAAGGGACCCCCTCTATTTCTTCTGTCCCAAAACAAGATCAACTACAGCTATATCATCGCTGACAAACCATAATCTCCAGGGACAGAAACACCAACCTTGCTAAGGCAATCTCTAAAAGCAGGCATAAGGGAGACCTGGAATATAGTTTTCCCAATGTCCGAAGTCCTTTTGCTGCAGTTTATGCCAACTACTACTTCCTGATCCCAGCACATATTATTCTTCTAGTTCTCTTTGCAGCAGCCTTCCCTATATTTGAAGACTGTTACCATAATACTGAACTACAGAAATATGCATAATGCTCTTTCAAAGTAATTTTGAGTCAACACAGGGACATAAATTGCAAACAACTAGTGTATTTTTGTCATTACAAGATCAACGGAGTGACAACTGAGTCAGAATTATAATTTCATTAGCTGAGACTGATTAACAGCAGAATCCAAGAGGAGCATTTTCATGGCCTACGAGCCAAGTACAACAGTTAAAATACAGAACTCTGAATCAGATCTGGATTTGAGCATTGTGACACTACCTGGTTTTCCCTGAACTTCACACATTCTAGAGTAAGACCTGAAGCGATTTTAGGTATTTTTAGTAATGTAGTTTTGCCATCACTAAGCTGAAGATAATGATTCTCAGCCTCGCTGCAAAATGAATTTTTATGTATGACAAAAATGACAGAATGTGAAATGGTTAACAGGTAGTTCAATCCCCTTTCTTCTACAAATATATCACCCAACCAAAAAAACTCCCTTCTTCCCTCAGCTAGACCACTGAAAAACAATACATCAATCGTAAGACTGAAGTGGAGAAATGTGAGGTTAAAAAAAAAAAGTGACAGAAACTGTCCAACTGAATGTTTTGCATCAAAAAAGTCTCTTATTTCTGGCATTACCACCATCATCCTCTACTTAGAATATATTACGATAAACAACTCCAAAAGAAATGTTAATCTCCGTTTCCACACATTTCAGTTCAAGTTGACTTCTACCTGCCTCCATATTTGAATGTGGAAAATAAATTTTAAAAAATCATCTTAACGCTGCTGAAGATCTCATAGAAGTCAGAAACTGCTATTTTTAAATGAAGTTTTCATATGAGTTGCTATTCCAAACCATTTAGAAACTCATGGCTGTTGGCAGAAACATACTAGTTTTGTCAGATCTTATATATGAAATACTTTAAGTAAACCCAGAAAGATTTTCAGGCCACAATCTTTGACTTGTCTTTAGGATCTGAGAGTCTGTGAAGTTGTCCATCCATTTGACTTGCCCATTGATCTGCATGTTTTTGCTTTTCAGATGTTTCCCTCACTACATCTAAATTGTTGCCAAACCACATCAGTTGTATGTGTGTAAATTTGCAAAAGAAAAACTGATTTTAAAAAAGCCAAACACTGCTACAGGGAGTAACAAAAGAATCAACTATCGTAAGAAAAATTTAAAACTCTCTCTTCAAACTCCATGTAACCAAACACGCCCGGCCTGTCATGCTGTGAGGCCAACCAGCACGAAACCAAGGCCGAAACCCCTCCCGAAGAACCCCGCTCCTTTCCTCCGCCGAGCAACCGCAGCACCTCCGAGGCGGGCGCGCCGGGGGGAACTCGGCTCGAGTGCCACAGCCGCCCAGGACCTCGCTCCTTCCCCAGATCCGCGCCCCTGCCT